CCGGGCCGCGCCGCAGCGTCCGAGCGACAGAGAAGCTTCTAGGCTCTAGGAACGGGGTCCCACGGGGCGGTCTCCAGGGCCGGACGGGGTCAGCGCTCCCGGGACGGTCTGCCGCGGCCTCACCTTGGCACTGCTCACGAAGCGGACTTCCACGGCGACCCGGGCCCGGCCCGCCACGCCCACGCAGAAGGAGAACACGTCGCTCATGGAGGCCGCCATCTTGGGCGTACCTCCGCCTCCTGACCTTTGACCCACCTCAACCCGGGAGGCCCCGCCCCCACCGGTCCCGCCCCCGATGTGAGTGCCCGCGAGGCAGCGAGGGCTTGCGCTCTAGCGTGTCCCTTTGATCTGTGTGTGTTGGTCGAGTGGTTCGTGCACTAGGTGGAACTGGGCCTGCCTTTGTACTTTTACATCTGTGCAGTTTTATCTGTCCGTTTTCGTGGCCAGCATCAGAGCCCTTGTGAGTGTGGTTTTGATGTATCCGTATCTGAGTTCATGTTTGTGTGTCTGTATGTTGTGTCTGGCACCCAGTGGCCTGTCTTGAGTCAAGCGCTGTTTGGCCCAGCCCTGGGGTGGGACAGCAGTGGGCCAACTTACTGCTATCCTCTCTGACCTGAAGGGAAGGACTAGCTTACTCCACCTGTCCATCCTGCAAAGGCTGCCACAAGATTTTCTTTCTCCCTAGGCACTCTGACAGCCGGGAAGACAGTCCCCACACAGTCTAGCTGGATGTGTGCCTTTCTCAGACTCGTTAGTGGTGTGGAGACCTTGTAGCCTGAGGGTGCCAGAGGGAGGGTCCATTTTGGGCCTCAGGTCTGAAGACCCCTGAAATTGTATGCAGAAGTGAGTCTGCATATGCACATTGTCCTTACAACAGGAGACTGGCCTGTTCTCTTGTTCAGGGCCCCCAAAAGGCTGCAGACCTATAGCACCTGCCCCCACAGCCAGGCCTGACCGCCAGTCTCATTTTGTTCCCTTTTCCTCCAGTTGATTCTGTGCTCCTTTAAAAGGGACCTGTGTCTGCATGTGCTGTGGTCTCATGGTGACATTTAGGGATTGGATAGAGCCTGGTTAGGTAACTTGATTTTTTTGAAAAGTGAGCCTGGAAGAGGCAGATGCAACTGTGTTCTTTTGATTAATAAAGTAGACTTTGGGTCCAGCTGTTACGAAGGATTTCACTGAAGACAGGAACAGAAAGGTTTTTGAAGCTGGGCCCTAACCTCGCTCCAGTTGCAGCCTAGCATCCTCAGAGGATGGTCCAGTGCCTTGGGGGCAGGTGGTTTTCCAAGGCCGCCCTGCTCCTTGCCTTGCCTCTCCCTCAGGAAACTCTGGAGAGCAGTGTGGACCATGCCCCTCTCACCACCAGGTGGCAGGGCAGGTCTTCTACCAGCTCACCTCAACACAAGCCATTCTAGATTCCAAATGAATAACCTCAACAGGGGTCCTCCAGGGAATGTAGAGTGGCAGAGAAATCAGCTCTGGAAATGTTGGTGGCAGGCTTCCTGGGAAGGAACAGGAGCCTTGAATCAGGATCATGAAGAGGGGAAATAATAATACAGCATAGTTCAAGACAAAATGGTGATCTTGGCAAAGGCAGAGTTAAAACTTTCTTTACCCTATATTAAAGATGGAAAGAGGGTCAAGACTAGCAGCAAGAGGGAAAAAGATGGTGGTCAGGGCAGCACGTCTGCTCCAAGGAGGCAGCTGGGCCTGAGCTCCTTCTGAGAGTAGTAACAGTTTAGACAAAACAAGAAAGCTTTGGGAAATTCTGTGAGAGGAAGTGGGCTAAATGATCTGTCTTTCCCTCTGCTCTCAACTCCACCATCTCTGATGGGGAAGAGTCTTCTAAGCCCAGACACTGACTCAGGAAGGCCCTCTCCTCTGCAGCCAGGCTAGAAAAAGATGAATCCTTGGAAAGGCCAGGGCTGGAGCACGTACTGCTCCTCTGGGTGAAGGAGACCTACAAGCCTTCCTGCACATTTATTGGGCTTGGCACAATGTAAGTGCTTTACAGACATTTCAGCCCTGGGAAGTCTAAGTTATCAACACACCCATTATACAGATTGAAAAAAAAGCCTCTGAAGTTCATTTCCTAACTTGGCCAAGGACATAGCTGAAGGCCAAAGTCTGTGCTGCTGGACCGTTTTCATTATTAGAGCTCCCAGGGGTAGTACCCCTTGACTCTGACAAGGCTCTTCATTAAGAAGGAGAGAATGGAGATCCAGTGGGTGCCCCTGGGGAGAACTAGCCCAGACAGCCTGGGCTGAGCCTCTGTCGCAGTCCTCAGCTGTCCATTCCTGGCCCTGCGTCTTCTCTCTGGATGCTGGTTTCGGAGCTGCTGGAGGGCTCGTCTGGAGAGGCAGCCGTGGCAGACACAGGTGGCAGTTTCAGCCTTTGCTGCTTCTGGTACTTGACCCTGCGGTTTTGGAACCAGACCCTCACCTATAATTGAGGCAGTGGACAGAGATCAGAATGTGACCAGCAGTTCCCACTGCTTCCCCCATTCCCACAGTGCCCACTCGTCTCTGGCCAGAATTTACTCTTTGTTCTAAGGGAAGTATCTCCTTCAAAAGACCCTTTGCTCTAATTCCAGTCACCATTCATTCACCCAACAAGTATTTATTAAGCTCCTAATATGTGCTAGGCACCACTCAAGGTGATGGTGATACAGTGGTGAGCCATTGAGGCGTGGTCTCTGCCCTCAGAGAGCTCACAGTCTAGTGGAGAGACACTAATAACAACTATGGGAACAAACAAATATATAAGCACAAATAGGAGGTGTGAATAGGGGTTTGTGCCTCCCTGAGGAATCAGCACTTAAGCTGAGGCTCAGAGGGTGAGAGGCCAGCCTGATGGGGACAGAGAAAAGCAAGCCAGGGCAGGGGAGCTAAGCTTGGAGTGTTTGAGGACCACAACAGAGGAGAGCGTGGCTGATGCATCTGAGAGAGGGGAAAGCAAAGGAAGGGAGAGTGCGAGAGGTCAGTGGGGACCAGATCACCCAGGACTGTGAAGGCTGTAGGGAAGGAGTGTCAACTTCGAGGCTTGTAAGTAGGGTGTGACATAGTCCTATTTACATCTCAAGTAAATTGCACATCTGGCTGCTGTTTGAAGAATGGATGTAAACAGATGCAGGGGAGAACTGGGAAACTGCCGCAGTGATCCAGCGAGAGCTGGGGCTGCTCACTTCCCTATATGATAAGAAAAATAGTCCCATTTGAAACTGGATGCAATGGAGAGAAATGAAGTGACTCCAGCTGTGTTTTGGAGGTAGGCGTGACAAGGCTGGCTGATGGAGTGGAAGAGAAAGAAGACTCTAGGATCACTAGGTATTTTGAGCACTGGGTGGACACTGGATTACCATGTGTGGGGAAAGAGAGTTTTGGGGAGAAAAAAGATCAAGAATTGAGGTTTTGGCTTGTTATGTTTGAAATGGCTACCCACAAGATATCCAAGTGGAGGCCAAAAGAAGGTAGTTAGCTGCACAAATCAGAAAAGAGGGGTGGGCAGAGAATACAAATTTGGGAGTCATTGGCTTGTAGATGGTATTTCAAACTGTGAGAATAGATGAAATCAGCCGGGGAGAAAGATTTGAGGTCACAAAGAGAAGGGTTGCCTACAAAGGCGACAGGGAAGAAAGGACTGGAGAGCTGGGAGGAAAACCAAGAGACTGCGGTGTCTGGAAGCCAAAAGAGTGTGATTCAGTAAGAGAAGGAGTGGTCAACTGTCCTGAGAGGTGGAATACCATGAGGAAAGGGAAGCAGCTGTTGCCTCTGGCAACACAGAGGTCCTTAGAGACCTTGATGAGAAGGTTTGATGAAATGGTAGGGAAAGAGTTCACACTGGGATGAGTAAGGAGTAGAGGGGAGGGGAGTATATGGAGAGAACATAGCCAGTGCCTGTGAAAAAGCAGAGAAATGATGCAGCAGCTGGAGGGGAATATGAGGTGAAGAGAATGTTTATTATTTTTAAAGTTAGTCCCTTGGATACTTACTCAATCTCACTGTTAGCTCCTTATTTAGCGTGCAAACGTTATATTATAAAGTTCAGGTTAACACCATGTGTTGTTCCCATAACGTGACTTCAAATAGGACTATTTTTCTCATCATACAGGGAAGGAAGTGTGCCAATGGGTAGGGCCTGTCTCTCCCAGCGACCTGCCACAGAGGACAAAAGCCCATGTCTTCCTCCCAGGGTCTTTAAGAGAGTAGTGTCAATCCCCAGGTGCAGCCCAGGCCCCACCTGAGTCCCTGCTCTCACCTGGTTCTCCGTAAGGTTGAGCTGGGCTGCCAGCTGGGCTCTCTGCTTCCCCACCAGATTGTGCTGTTTTGCAAACATTTTCTCCAACTCTTCCAACTGCTCCAAGTTAAACATAGTTCGAACCCTCTTTTGGGATCTCTCAGTGTCCTGAAGGTAGTGAGCTGGGGCCCAGTCTGGAGGACCCCAGAGGCCTGGGCAGTGAGCCAGCTCCAAGCCTGAAAAGGAATCAGCAGGAGGGGAGGTTAGCCAGTCCCCCTCTGCCCTCTCATCTTGGAGGAGAGAGAACAACTCGCAGCTCCCCTGTACTCCCCTTGTCCTCAGCCAGGTAACACAGCAAAAAGGCAGAGAGGGAAGACACTCCCAAATAAGAAGGGACAGTGCTGTGAGACCACTTCTGTCTCCACTATTCTTCAACTGAGTGGCTTAATCTCTGCCCCTAAGAGGAGTTGCCAGACCTCCATCTCTCTGGTCCTCCTCTCCTTTACTTTAGGAAAACCCTATGGGATAAACAGAGAAGGGACCCCTTCTGAACAAAGAGTTCATCCTTTTCGATGTCTACTATGTTTCAGGCATGCTTCCGGGACAAAATACGAAAATTCCTAACAGTAAAAAGGGTAAATAAGTAAAATGTTGAGTGAAAAAGGTACATAAGTAAAACATTGAGTATGTCAGAAAGTGATGAGCGCTAGTGAGAAGAATAAGGCAGGGAGGGACAGGGGGAGGTGTATGTGGGAGCGGGGGTCGTTTGCATCTTCAGAAAGAGTAGCCACCTCATTGAGGTCACATTTGAATGGGGTCAGTATGTACAGTTTGTGCCCTGCACACGGGTACCTAGCTGAGAGGGTAAGTGGAGTCTGAAATTCTGCCCAATTCTTGCTCCCTGACCAGGTTTTGTGTCTGCTTAAAGTTAGGGGTGCCCTTTTCTAATGCACATAAGGTACTATTCAGCTCATCAAGCTGTGGGCCAGTGGAGGTGGAGATTGGTCCAGCGGGGGGACAGTACCTGAGTCATATCACTGAAGGAATGAGGAAGTAAGCCACTGGGCTGTCTTGGAGGGAAGTGTTCCAAACAGAGGCCCCACAAGTGCAGTGCTATGATTCCTCAGTTGCCACTAGCCTTGGCGAGGCTCCAGGGTTGGCAGACAAACTGCCTGAGTGAATGGAGAGAGGCCAGGGCCCTAGCGGCCCCAGACCTCAGTCACTGGGCCCACCTGGCTTACCATAAGCATAGGCATTAATAGCAAAAGATGAGAAATAATCAATGCGTTCTGATTAAAATATGGTACATCCTTACAATGGACCACTGTGGCATAAAGAAGCTCTGCGTGTATTGATAAAGGAAAAATCTCCAGGATATATGGTCAAGTGAAAAGAGTAATGTGTCTAATATGGGAGATTAGAAGAATGTATATATGTGTATGTGTGTGTGTATATATATATACACACATATATATTCACACACATACATACATTCACGTGTATGTGTTCAGGGATTAAATATGTATAAAATACCTCTGGAAGAATTAAAACCTGGTGTCTGGCTGCCTGTGGGGTAGGGGGGAACCAGGTGGCTGTGGGGACAGGAATGGGAGAGGAAACTCTTTCCCATACTATGTCTTAGTAAACACTTTGAAGTTTGAACTGTGTGGATGTAATACCTATGCAAAAACCAACTTGCAAATGAGACAACCGTAATCTAGAGAAATAAACTGCAATTCAGACCCAGGTGTGTGGAGACGTTAGAAAAGAGTGGCTTGGCGTGAGGGCCGGGGCTCCCGTGCAGTGGCATGAATTTGGATGGGGTTAGGAGACCAAGGTTTCTCTCCCACATGGTTGGAGGAATGTCCAGCCAAAAGGAATGGAGGAAATATAGGATAGGGGGAACCCAGGAAGTAGGAGGCAGGTTAGATTGTCTTATAATAGCCTTCATATGGGTCGATAGTGCTTGCACTAACTTTGCTCCTGTTCTCATGGAAACCATGGGAAAGCATGAACCAGATAGCCCCAAATGGCAAAGACTTGTGTAGGCGGATGTTAATGCGAGAGGACAAAGTTCCCTCAACAGTTAAATTCGCACTGAGATGTAAGTCAGTGCCTGCGCTCCAGAGCCCAGAGCCCAGAGCCCCAAGGTACCATTCTAACAGCTGTAACAAGCAAGCAGCGAAGTGTGGAAGCTAAGCTCACTCAGACATGAGCATTGGAGGTGGGATGGAGTCTTTAACTCCCAACAGCTCCTCGCTGAGCAGTACCAGCAGTAGCACCCGCTTCTCCCGGTTAAAGGTAGGGCCCTGGGTTTGCGACGACGAGAGCCGCTTTGGGGAAGAGTCTGCGCCACAGTGTTACCCACAGAGGGTGTGGGAGGGAGCCAGGGCCTCTATAAATCCTTCCTCTAGCCACGCGGGGCCGCGCCCCGTGCAGCCCCTGTGCTGGCCTTGGCCGTCTTCTGAGCCCCGCTCTGCACCCGCCCTCACACACGCCTTCTCCCAGCTCAGCGGCGGGCCGGGCAGCCTCGCGCCCGGGTCTGGTCTCAAGGGTCCCACTCCGCCCCCCGCCCCCGGCTTTCAACTGCAAGGTCAAGGGTCATAGGGTTCCCACCCACTTCAAACCGCGTATGGTCCTCAAACTCAGGGGCATCTCCTCTATCCTATGCCTATCGCGGCCTCCTCCTCTCAGCCGCCCCGCCGGCTTCCCCGAACCGGCACCCGGCACCCCGTACC